CTTATGTATACTTCTGCATTATATATATATATATATATACATATATATATATATATAATGCAGAAGTATGTCAGGGTATGCCTGCCCCCGCCACATGTGCCAAAAGTAAATAACGGAAACATCTTTTAAACGCTATAAATGTGTTTGTGGAGTTGTATATATTGCAGGCGTGCATTTGTTGCTGCACGCACACTAAGTATCCATGCGCGTCAGCAACGGCACTGGCACTCAGTTCAGTTCTTTTTTGGGTTTACTGGCTTGGCAGCTTTCAGCTGAATGACGCATTCCACTTAGCTCCCTTACTCGCTTGTTTCTTTGCCCCATGTGTGCTTGACATATCTTCTGCCTAGCACAAGCCTGGCTTTTCAGCTGGATACCATAAACCTGTAGTTGCACCTGCACAGCATGAGGCTTTAAATTTTCTTAAGAGTATCCTCAGGAATGTTTATGGTGAGATTTCAGTTGGCGACTGTGGGTAAGTAAGGAAGCAGCACGAAAGGCGAAGGCATGCCGAGAACCTCTCGCTCGCCCGGCTAAGCTTTATTCCCCCACAAGTACAGCAGCCGCATTCAACCTGCTCCCTCTGGACGTGTTCTTGCACTGTAGAAGAGTCATCTTTTCGGTGAAACCCTTCGAAGAGAATGATTGTCTCTTGTTCTAGGTAGCTCACAACATTCTGTGTAAGGGTCCTCGAACTCAGCCGAAGGGCGTCGTGAGCTGCAATCTCGCAGGCACACTTTACATAAGGCCTCATACAAACCAGCTGAAAATTTTTCACCAGGCATCCCTATGGCGATACAAAGGCTTAGGGCTATTCAAGAGGAGATGCGTTTTGTCTTGAGTTGCAGCATTTCCTTCACACCTGCGCGAGGCAACCCCAGAAGCAAGCATGCATAGACACCCGCAATGCATGCGCCAAGACCGAAGGCAACCGTTAAATACTTGCGTCAGTGTTAGCAGCCATCTTGCAGGCAAGCATCGATCCCTCAATAAACCTCCGCCAGCAGCTGCCACTTCACTCCTCCAGCAGCTAACCCATCCGTTTGCTGGGCTGCCCGCCAAAAGGGTGGGTTAAATATGGATGGTAAGGGACAGCGGGAGAGCGGATGGAGGCCAAAAACAGCAGAACTTGGAACAAGAGTACGGGAAATGAGGACATCTGCAGATGCTGCAGGTCTGCTGCTATTGCAGGCGATTGTACGTAGCTGCGGCAGGCCCACGCAGCGGTATGGGTCAACGGTCTACGGAAAGTATCTTTGCCGTGCGCACGGGTTGGGTCTCGCTCTTAACTGCAGGCATAACCAACTGAACAAAGCTATACGATAAGCTGGCCCCAAGGTTCAGCTTTCAATGGAGCCCTAACCACAAAACTCCAAAATATGCAAGACTCGAAAGAACTGTCGATTGAACTGCGTAGCTAGACAATAGGTATATGGAGATGGGTAGAGCACCAGACAAAAATAATTGGGCAGAAGAACGTGTAGATATATAGGCGTGATGCTTACCGAATATACATGGCGGTAGAACTGCCCACAAAAGTTGGACAGACTCCAAATTTACGCTGCGCTGTTCCCACAGCATACAGCTGAACCGAAAGCGCCGCGTAGTGGCTCCTGGGGAATTGGTTAACAAAAGCGGCCATCAGGGGCTCACTCGGCTTTTCGGTCTTCTAGCATTTAAAGCAATATATTCTCGTTTTGTGAGACTGCTACACATCGATAAAAGTGTGCGCAGGATCGTAACCACCTCTGGCTACTCCTTCTCAAACAACGGCAGCATCTTAAGGTGAGGGTAAGCATATAAAGTAAGCCAACAAATTAGCGCAAGAACAAGGACCAAAGGGCCCTCACCTAAAGTACAGAAGGCTTCTTAAGTTGTTTGTCCTCCTGAATACCTCCAATAGCATGCGAATCCGCTGATGCCCGGTCGCCTCGGTTGAAAATGACAGCGGAAGGCCGTTTGTCGCTGTCCCTTGTATCTGGCGTTCTTGTGCTTGCCTTGTACGTTCCAGGGATTCTGCATGCCGTGTATGGAATTTGGCAGTTACGGGCATAAGCAACTTGCTTCTTCCAACAACCAGGTCTAATGTGGGGTCAGGCAACGGGATTTCGGCGTAGACCCGGCAAGCCGGAGAGCAATGGGTAACAGAGTGCAATGCCGCATTATACGTCGACTCCACACATGGAGGGAAGCCAACCCTTTGTATTAAATTTCGCCGCTTATAGAGTCGCTAATACCGCAAATACGTGCGGTTGATACGTTGAGTTTGGCGACATACCTCCTTGCGGTGACCGTGTCGATGTTTAGCTGATTCATGGGTTCAAGCCTAAAAAAGTAGAAGAGGCTAATAAAGTTTGAGTCCTGTTAATAATGGTACATTTCGAAAAGCCGCCGATATTCCAGATGAGCGTATTGGAGGATTGACCGATTCCCCTTGCTGTCACTGTAGCAGGGTCTATCAAGAGCTACTACGTGAACCCTTACGTCGCCCTAGTAGGCAGCCTACCTACCACGCGCGCAAACAGAAGTACAACGGTTGTCTAAAGTGTTGGCGCCGAGGAAAATGGCAGTTGCTCCAGCTTGCATGCTGAAGTACCCTAAAGAATTAGTTGAAACGAGATGCGTTGCTACTCAACTCAGGCCACCTCCTATCCCAGAGCCTCAAGCACTTGGACCACTGTTTCCAGAACGCCTGGGGACTAAAGAGGTGGTCAGCTGCTTTTAAGGAGCACTTTTTTTGAACTGTTTGGCTCGGGGGGAGATCACCCCATTCCTCGAATGCGATCGTGGACTCTCGTTACCATGCAGTGCTACAAAGTGGAATGGCGCTTTCGGTCTTTCCCGAGGACAGAGGACCTCGCCCAGTTGCGATCCTCAAAGCGATTGAGAAAATGGTTCCGGAAAGGCTGCAGCTCCCCCCCTTCATTCCCTGCGTTCTTAGCATAGCAAGACAGACACCTGGGGGAGGTGCAGCGCTGAAATGCTCTGCCCTGATGAGCAGGCTTCCTGCTGCAGCTCGTGCCGAGCAGGGCAGCCCCAAATGGAAACATGCTCTAGTCCCCAGTGCATGTGAGGAGTACCGTAGTAAATTTCTACCAATTTCTTTGCTTCACGCGCACAGACGTACTGGCACACTGAACAAGCTGCAACAGCGATTGCGTCTTCGCAGTCCCTCCAGGGGAGATGCTCCTTGATATTATTCTGGACACGATACGTATATAATTCCCGTTTGCAATCGTCAACTGTAGGTGTTTAGACTATAGTTGTTTAGACGCTACCACAAATGCCACAGACGCCAGCGAACCGTGAGGCAGTCGGCCAGAGGTCCGCACCAAGTGCTTACCAAGCCAACATACCAAACTCTACCACCAAAGTTACTGAAATTGATACCAAGTCTGCAATTTCTCCCTCGTCTAATTAACTTATAGGCCTTCTTCCTTGTGCGTGGCGATGCACTACACCGGAGCTTGGAGTTCGATGCTGCCTCACCTGCCGACAATCGGTTGTGCTGAGCAGCCTCTAAATTACTATCTGCCTTATCTTTGGTTCACTTCACACTAAATTCGGATGATGCGGGGGTTCGTCCACAGAAAGGCAGTCTAGCGACTAAACGAGAACTGGACAACCCCGCTTGGCGTCACCCCCAAGGTGGAGCGTGTGCCTGCTGCCCGAACTTCTTGTTTGCATGCCCACTGGAAAATACAGGGGGCCTGTGTAGTACGTAAATACCCATACTTGCCTTTATCATATGCGTGAAGGAGGAAATAGCAATAGTAGGTCTCAATAGACAACCGCATCCGCTTTGGGGTGCAGGACTGGCCATTGGTTGCTCCAGAAAACGGGACGGGTGGTCTTCCACACGTGTGCTGCAGGCTTCGCGCATCTGCAGCATTCGCATAGATGAGTGCTGCAGGATTTGTTCCTTGTGTGTTCATTGACTATTTTTCAACAGGGAGTGCTAACGTCGTTAATATCATAAAATCCATGGTGCAGCTCGCGATGGGCAGCACGGAGGTTGGGATTACGGAAGACTCTGACAACGATGAATAGGTCGGGAGAAGGGCTGGTTGCGTTAGTGCGACAATGTGGAACCAGATTTAGGGACTTTTTCTCCGAGCTATCCACGTAGCTCTGGGGCCACCACTTCAGTTAGCTCTGAGGTTTATTGCGCAGGGAGGCAGGAGCTCCTCCCCACACCGGCGCCTGAGCCCCCTTTGTATACAGGCCTTCGGTTTTCCTTTCAGTAAGCTCTTTGCTTCCAATCTCAACGTTCCCGTAGGTACTTGTGACCCCTAGTCTTCGAGCGTCCCGTACGGAGAGCGCTACATGCTGCCCCCGAGTCGATGCGCCCCATCGATGCACGATGTTATTAAAGCGCTTCCAGTAATTCCCCCCGAGCCAAGCCTTGCCAATCCCAGCACAGCAAGCGCTGGTACTGAGTTCCATGGGTCTTGCCCCAAACAGGGGATTGCAGTTACCTTCGCACCATGCCCTGCGGTCCCCGCTGCATCGAGTACTGAGTGCTTTTACATATCGAGCACTGCGATGCACTGTACACGAACGAATATGGCTCCCAGTAAAGCGAGCATTGCGTCCCCCTGCAGGTGGGGTGCTGCGATTCCCCCGCATCGAGCACGATTCCTTTATTTATGGGGAGGGGGGCTCTTCTTAAGCCGGGCGCTGAGATGCCCTTTACATCAAGCGTTGATGTTATTTCTACGCATTTCACTGTGGTTCCCTATACAACGAGCACTGTGGCCGTCCCAGTAACTCGTAGGCGTGTTTTTGGAGACATGGGAAGGGAGTCGGTGTGTGCTACTTCGCCGCGGTTGTGTGAATACTACGCAGTAGGTGATACGTTAGGCATTCCCCTTGAAGAGATCGTCGCGGATGCTCTTCAGCTGGGTTTGTATTTAACGGAAGATGAGGAGTACTTTGCAGATGTCCCTGGTACAAACCCTGGGGAAGTGCTGACGAGGTGCATATTGAACGGCGCGCAGCCAAGTATTTCCTTCGCAGCTGGTAGGGGCAGTCGACGGGTGGAGGTCGTAGTCCCGGATGGGGAGGAACCGAGGAGATAATTTGTGGAAGGAAGGAGTGCTTTTGGAACGCGAGACATACACGGCCAGCGACAGAAGTGCTGCGAAGGTGAATATGCGGCGGATTGTGAATTTGAAACGGGAAGCGCTGGACCCTGGTGGGGATGCAGATGCCAGGCTTCACCCAGATACCGTTATCAACTGGAAGCAGAAGTCTCTCATGGAACAGGAAACCACGACTTCTCGGTTGGATAGCACCAGCAGAAGAAAGGGGAGGGGGTCCAACGATCGCGAAGCAGCGCATCGAGACCAGGGTGACATTACTGATACGGGGGAGAGAGAGCCATCGCACTGAGCGGGGGACTGTAGTTGGCGTTCACAGTAATGATGTCATGAGGGGTGTCTTACACTATTAAAGGGAGGTGGGTATGCGAGATTGTGGGAACAGTTTTATCCCAACGGGGAGCATTCATCTACGGGAAGTAGCGGTTGAGGCGCAGGACTTCATCGGCAGCGCGGAGGAAAGCTCACAGATTCAACAAGAATACGCCACTGGAAAAGGGAGAATGAGCAATGCATGGGAGAGGTCGCAAATCTTCCAGCGAGCCACTTTGGGAGGTAGGGAAGACCTGTTGCAGGGGGCAGCGACAAAAAAAACCAACACCATTAACGTGAAGAATAGCTTCCCCATTAAAGGGAGAATTGCGTTTGGATTTCAGGACACTATCAGCTACCTAAGACAGAGTAATCACATCCCACATATATCCTAACATGGAGAACGTTACGGCGTTCCCAAGTTTGGGGAGAACAACGACATTCAGCAGGGAACAGAAGCTATAGAACGGGACAATAGTGTACACGCAGGGGGGAATCCTCACATCGGACGAAGAACACCAATTAAAGGCAAGGAGTGCGCTGCTAATATATGAGGGAGGGTCAGATTTAGCAAAGAATCGTCCTTGGAGGCAGCTCTTGTGCGGACCTGTTAGCAGACACAAAAACGCACACATCCACAATTTACAGTTGTTGATGCATAACGCAGGCATTTTCTTCCTTGTATGTGTGCATCATTGTGCAGTAGATGCATTTTGCACTTGCTCCACCTCAGCCGCAGCATGTGTAAATGCATGTATTGCCACTCCCATAGCCAGACGAGGTGATAGTGGTGGAAGTGAGCAGTGTTCGCCATGCTGGACTGCACGGCTTCTTAATGACGGTGGTTTTGCTTTGCATGTATTCTCTGTAGGGATTGTGTTGCGGAGTTTGTATCAGGAATGCTGTATAATTCAGTGTCGTATATAGGTATCCACGGCGCGCTTGGTACCCAGTGGTGATGAACGGCTAGGCATGTTGCGTTGGTTTCACGCGGCCTTTGTCTTGAAATCATATTTTTCTTTGCTTTGCGACGCCGATTGAGACTTTGTTCTGTTTTGCTTTGTGCTTGCTGCTCCCGCCATTTTTTCCTGAGGACCGAACGACGGTTGCGCAAATCCGCGACTTCAGAACGGGGAACCCCAATTCATATTTGGAGTCGATTTCCCCTGGGAGCAGCAACAGGGGTAACAAAGCGCTGGTTGACTGAGCTATTATGCTTGAAGCTTCTCTTTTCTTTAGATGCTTGCAAGCACATGGAATTTCGATGAATAGCAATAGGAGAAACGGGAGCATTCGCAACGGCCAGAGCAGCAGAGAGGGTGGGCTTGGAATGAGTCTCTCTCCTGGAGGTTGTGCTGGCTGTTTAGTAGAAGTCCATGGAGCAAGCAGTGGAATGCTGGTGGCAGCAGTACTTGCCAAGCTTGGTTTGGACTGTTTGTTTTTCTTTCTTCTGAGTCTCACATTAGATGTAGTAGCAGTAGGAGAACAAGACAACATTACAAGGAACAGTGCTAATGTGCAATGGGAAACAGCAGTGGTGGGTGCGGTGGCTGCAGTTAGGGGAGAGACAGCCTACGCAGTAGCTAAGGGTGATCACTTACGTGTCAGGGGAGCCCACCATCGAACGATGAATAGCTGGTGAAGACGGTGCCGCCAGCTGTAGATTTTTCTCGCACGGGTGGGAGCTATAATGATCGTGCAGCAAGAGGGCAAAATGTACTGCATTAGGTACTGGAGACGGGAGAGGCATTTTACCCAGCAGCGGCTGCGCAACAGAGCGTTCTATTGCTGCTTGACGCGTTGCTATTGCACAACTTCTCATGCAGAGGTTGATGGTACAACGGCACAAACAACTGCTGCTGGGAAGTTTGGAAATGTCCGCACGTATGGGCAGTATCTCGTTGCATGCATCAGTGTAGCGCGCGTGCAGCCCAGAACATCTAAGGGCATCACAGACCTGT